TATCATTTCTACGGCCAACAAATTGGCCCCCCGAACTACATCCCATCAATTTTTGTCCGAAATTTGGGCGATCACCTATTCAGTGAAAAATATTTGACTCCGAAAGAAAGACTTTGCCAGATTGGTATAAATTTTCTCGATGATTCTTGGCTTTAAGCCGATTCAGTCCGTTTACATTCAGTTTAATAGCGTGACAATAAACAAAAAAAATGTTAATAAATTCCCGACTTTTCACCATCTTTTTTTCTTTTTTTATCCCCAGGAAAAATTTGTCCTTCGGAAGATCTCATACAAGTCCCTTTACCTTCATCAAAATGAATAAGGAACGTTTCTAACTTCAAAAGGTAATTTGCATCGATGCTGACTGTTTTAGAAATCCAAACAACACTAGTATCGTTATAAAAGCTACAAAAGAAAATTATAAGAATGACAACATTAACAGCATATAGAAATCTCACTGTCCTCCCCCCCCTCCCCCGTTTTTGAAAAGAAACTGCGACTTTTTCCATTGAATGAGATATATAAAGGAAATAACATCATTGTTCATTTTTCGATTCTCTATAATACTTTTCCAAAAACATCGACAAATGATGCGCCTTTTACAACGATTTCCACAATCAAAATGCAAAATCATCAAATAAAGTTCATATCGCTTATTTACGGATAATTATAACAAACACTCCATAGAATACAGGACCTTCATTCAGAGGTAGCTAATATGGAACATTCTCCTAACATATGCAAAACCTATGAGTAATAAAATATTTTTACTTTAGGAAGCAGATCAAAGAAAACCTACTTTCCGATTTAATTTCTAGAAACGCGAGCTTGTTGCAAGGAAATGCGATTATTATTAAGATATGGGCTGGGCAGTTTAGAATTAGCAGTAAATAGGATGATTGCACAACTGAATTGATTTACTGTCAACTAAATAAGAATCAGCAGGTCAAATGAAACTTGTTGTGTTCTCTTAGCCGTTAAATTTCCCAGTTGGTCTCTGATTTGCGTGATTATCGTGACAGTGTAACGAACACTCCAGTAGAACAGACGGCAAAAAGTGTGTTCCTCTTTGAGGGATTATGTAAAATATCCATAGGCGAAAAAAGAGCCAAGAGTTCAAACTCCGTAGAAAATATGTATTAAACTTGTTAAATGAACCATAACATTTGACTAAAATAAAAACTCCGAAACTCCTTAAGAACGTGTCCACATGAGATCCAAGAACAAGTGATTTTTCCTTCTGAGGTCAGGAACTCCTGATTACTCGAAATTTTCCGGAAGTTTCACTTTCCAGTAGTAATGGAAAATTGGGGAGGGTACATTTCTTCAATGGGGAGGGTAGGGAGAGGAGTTTTATAGCAGCATCCAACAAAGATTTAGGAGCAAACCGTGATGTTTCATTATCATTACTGATGGGGGAGCTGGTTACAAGCAACCGAAGATCCTTTTGGTTACCCTCCCAAGTAGTCTGAGTTAGTGAAGCTGTTGTTACCAATTTTTGATAACTTGAAGGAAAAATGAGAACTGTGATCAAAGATATTTAACTAAAACAGTGAAAACAGGAACTTATAAAGTATCATATAATATTTTAAGCAATTGGAGTTTTTTATTCTAAACGAATCCGTGACGTACGGGCCATCAATACGAATACAACAGAGCTGGACACGATTTGAAAATTAAATGTCTCTTACACTCAACGGATGATTCCCTCTTAGTTTTCGCTTGACCCTATAAAATCCAAAATTAAAAATTTTACAGTGTACAAGAGTATTGACTTTTTACCTCGAAAGGAAAAAACCTGTGAAAAGTAAAACTTTTCGCTAATCGTAAACATCATATCTCTTAATATTAAAATGGCTGGGGAAGATATCATGAATGTATAAATATGTTGGTATCGAGTGATTGTTTGTCTCCGAGTCGTCAAATAATTCTTTGCCAGAACGCAACGGGTAACTTATCATTTTTATGGCGAACAAAATTGGCCCCCCAAACTACATCCCATCAATTTTTGTCCGAAATTTGGGCGATCGCCTATTCAGTGGAAAATATTTGACTCTGAAAAAAAGACTTTGCCAGATTTGTATAAATTTTCTCGATGATTCTCGGCTTTAAGCCGATTGAGTCGGTTTTCTTTTTCAGTTTAATGGCGTGACAAGAAGCAGAAAAATAATGTTGATAAATTCCCGACTTTTTTGACCATTGTTTTTTCTTTTTATTTCCGGGAAAAAGTTTACCTCTTTCGGAAGATCTCATACAAGTCCCTTTACCTTCATCAAAACGAATAAGGAACGTTTCTAACTTCAAAAAGTAATTTTCATCAATGCGGACTGTTTTAGAAATTCAAACAACACTAGTATCGTTATGTGCTACAAAAAAAATTAAAAGAATGACAACATTAACAGCATATAGAAATCTCACTATTTCCCCTCTCCCCCCCCCCCGTTTTTGAAAAGAAACTACGACTTCTTCCATTGAATGAGATATATAAAGGAAATAACATCATTGTTTATAATTCGGTTCCCTATAATACTTTTTCAAAAACATCTACAAATAATGCGTCTTTTACGACGATTTCCACAATCAAAATGCAAAATCATCAAATAAAGTTCATATCGCTTATTTACGGATAATTATAACAAACGCTCCATAGAAGACAGGACCTTTATTCAGAGGTAGCTAATATGGAAACATTCTCCCAACACTTGCAAAACCTATGAGTAATAAAATATTTTTAATTAGGAAGCAGATCAAAGAAAACCTACTTTCTGATTTAATTTCTAGAAACGCGAACTCGTTGTAACGAAATGCGATTACTATTTAGATATGGGCTGGGCAGTTTAGAATTAGCAGTAAATAGGATGATGCAACACGAGCTCCCTTGAGAGTCCAGTAAATCGGTTTTGTTAAGAGCATTGCTCCTTCTTACACAATTGAACTGATTTACTGTCAACTAAATACGAATCAGCAGGTCAAACGAAACTTGTTGTGTTCTCTTAGCCGTTAAATTTCCCAGTTGGTCTCTGATTTGCGTGATTATCGTGACAGGGTAACGAACACTCCAGTAGAACAGACGGCAAAAGTGTGTTCCTCTTTAACGGACCATGTAAAATATCCATAAACGAAAAAAGAGCCTAGAGTTCAAACTCCGTAGAAAATATGTATTAAACTTAGAAATAAAAATAAACCACAACATTTAACTAAAATAAAAACTCCGAAACTTCTTAAGAACGTGTCCATATGAGATCCAAGCAATATCAAAATTTGAGCCCAAATGGTACCCTCCAGAATATGATACTATTCTGTGTACATACTGGCATTAGTCCAAGTTAAAAGCCCGCCGAATATTTTTGCCAAAGTTCGAACAGTTCACCAGATACAGTGGTTCGAGTAAAATGTCACGCAATTTCAAGTAAAACCGTGGTAAATTCGCCCATGAAGTTTACAACTTGCTTAGAGACGATTGGGTGCAGATGTAATAAAGAATCTTTGCCAATTTCAAATGAATAGTCTACTTATTCGATTCAACTAAATTTGAAGAGGATGCGAAAACTATGTTCAAAAAAATATTAATGTATTCAAGGTTTCAAAAAATGACCTGAATTTTTAGTGAAAATCGCTTGAAAATCCCGGATGCGGCCATGTTTCTGCTCAAAATTACTCCATTTCCATAAAGTAAATTTGCTTAGGTATATAGAGGTGATAAGATCTGTGTGAAACATAACCATGCGAAAATATATTTTGCATCGGTATTTCGCTCACGACGACGAGCGAATGACAAATGGGGATTTGATGTGATCTGTTGAACTAGTAAAACATGCTAATGATTTTTAGAATGATGGCTCATTTCATATTTGAATACACAATATTAGGTTTAAAAATGCACCTGAGAAATATTTTCTTAATAAAAGACTTACACTTGTGCCGGGAAACTTGTTTATACACCCAAATGATTTTAGAATGATCGTTTGCTCAGATATTCTTCAAGACTTACAGACTTGTTTGAATAGATAAAATGCTTTACAGGGGGTCTTTACACATCGAAAACGATCTGTACCATCTGCACCTTTTGAGAGTAATAGTACCACAGGGTACCCAAGGTATCAGGGTATTATTATCAGAGGATTATCCCCTTTCTGAACCAGAAATGCTGGTTTGATTTTATTGTTTTGTTTGAGTTGGGGGATATTATATCTATTTCTTTACATCTGGTTCATCCCAAACCCTTTCCAAAGAGTCTAGATCAAAAACGCTATATTCTAGTCCGCTACCCGTGCGCCTCTCCCTAAAGTCACTTCCAATCCAGCCTTACCACTCCGCAGGTTTTTTTTTAATGAAAAGGGAGGAACCACTGCACAAAAAGGCATATGATTTGAAGGACCAGACTGAAGACACCCCTTCCCAGAAAGTCCTGCATGCGAGGGTTCGCGATTCTGTAGTTTAAAGCGTGTTCACAGAGTTAGCTGATGTTTCACCCTCTCGCGGAGATTATACCGCCAAATCTCTCTTTCCAGTGGTTCTAGATCTTGGTGACCAATGTTGATGTCGCTGGCCTGCGGCAATTTTCCGGTATTCTTTAAAATCGCCAGTCTAAAATAATAGCTTGAAATCTGCTGAGCTGTGAGCCTCTCCTCTTTGTCGAACAAGCGTTCGCCAGTACCCTCCCGACATAGTGTACGTATTCGTTTTAAAGCATCAGGCGGGATCACCTTGCGCCCAGTCTCTTCACCAACAAGAAATAGTTCGAGAAGGAAGTTCTTCGCCTGTTCCGTAAGTCTACTGCACTTCCTTGCCTTGAGGGCCCAGCCACGAGGCACGCTGTTGGAGCTGTTGGCGGTAGAAGTACTGGAGGTCTTGTGGGTCTCTGGTATTTTTGCTTTCAGAGAGGAGAATTTCGCCGCCCATTGTCGTCTGATGTGATCGTACTGCATCTCCCGGTGAAGTTTGTACTGGCGCTTGCCTAAGTCGAGATGGCTGACAAGGTAGTGGTTAGAGCGCCAGACTTAAGTACACCCTTCTGTAGGACATGAAAACAAGGCGCTCGCAGTTTCTTCGCAGTTACGTTCCCTCACATCTTTCGCTGATGGTGGATTTCTCCACCAAGTAGCTTGCCTTTTCAACGCGCCTTTTGCAGTGTCTGGTGCGTAAAAGGCTTCAAAACCTTTATACCTGTCACTTGCTGCGTTGACTCCATGGGAATAGCCTTTTTCCGAGATCCTACTCCCACACGAAATGCGCGCCACACCTTGATACTACCACACTCGTACTAGGAATTATTTAGCTGACTTATGCCCGCCTACTTTACGGGTGTTAACATTTGTTTTGCTTGGTCGAGCCCCCGTACGAGTCAATAGCCTCCTTCAGCTGCGCTGCATTAGTAACATCATGACCTGCAAACCAATATCCACAGGCATGAGTAAGTACATGTTTGAAGCTTTAGGTGCTGTGGCCTATATGGGAAGTGCGCGAAGCATGCTGGATCTTCGGACATGGGCTTTATACTACGAGGCGCAATGTTGTACCTGTTGCCACTGTTGCTTTATTTTCGATTTTTAGACTCCATTGCAGTTTTATTGATAATTGTAACCACGGACAGACAATATCGAATTTGTTTGCGTGGCGCATCAATGTGGCGATCTTACCTTCGTTGACATATCTATCAACGTGCGCCTTGAGTGGTGCGATCTTTCGGTCGCACACATCATTGCCACTGTTTGCCTCACTGAAGCTGTGGTCCTTCAACACAAGCCCCTGACGTGCGATAATAACGGCGGCCCTAAAAAGGAGAGCGGAAGCGCGAACCAATCTTGATAGCAGGCGTCAAAAATGTGGACCAGTGTACGCACCTAATATAATGCAGGTAAAAAGCACAATTTTTAGTTGCCTGAAACAACTGTGCAAATCCGATATTGTCATGGTCCAAAATTTCCTTTTCCTGTAGATTTGAATAATACATCATACTATATACAGCTTTATAGAGGTAATTGACAAGTGCTGTCGATAATTTCTTCCTGACCGCTCCTGACCGCAGTCTTTCTGAAAATTCAAATACCAATTGCCTCAAATTCCATATCCGTATTTTCTGTGCACGAAATTTAGAAAACTTTTATTTTGACCTCAGCAAGTGCAAAACAAAGCCTGTATTGCTGAGCTTGGTGATCAGTACTGATTCGAAATCGAAGGAAATGTCTATAACCTTTACTCCTGGTTCATCAATTATTTGTTTTTTTGGACTCGATTTCTTCCCATAGCTGCCTTTCACGTTCTCCTGCAACACGTTTCAGCTCACGACCTCTGGCTCTCTCGTCTCGCTTGGCGGCAACTTCAAGATCGGCTTGAAGCTTTTCGACAGAACCACATTTCTGATGACCTAGATTTTGGGTCGGAACCAAATCTGGATCGTAACGATCCCACAGTTTAGCCGCTTTTCCGGAGATAAAATGTTTACCACAGACCCGGTCGTGGAAAGTATCCGTACTTTTTCTCGTCGACTAGTAGTAATTGAAGGTATTCTTGCCATATTAATTCCTTTATCACGACCACTTGGGGTCCCACAGCTAAAAATCGCGCATAAATCCATTTTTTATCCTAAACACAACTTCTGGTCACATGTTTAAAGGCAAGTGATGTGCACCAATGTGGCGGCCGAATAAATTGAGATCACGTGACTGAAAACGATCTATTGGTCGAGGGCTTGCTCTTTAGGTCTCTCAGTCAAACACGTCGCGGTCTTAACCTTTCTGCATGTTTTATCGAATGCGCTTATTCAGTCTGACGTGTGAAGCCCATATGTGCCTTGCTTCAAAGCCTAATTGGCTAGTTGTAGTTGTTACAAGTTTTTCTTTTTAATTGCGCCTAGTTTTTCGACGGTCATTTCAAATCTGCTTTGTTGCAGACAAACAAATAACTCTATGCGAACTAAATGACTAACTCTGTGCATATAAGATACAAGTTACTGGTAGGGCTATGAAATCGCTGCTGAATAGCTGACTAGTAGTTACCTGGTGCAGTCGATCGTATCCTCGCGTCTTTCACATATAGTGTTATGCTGGTGCGTACAAGTGGCGTGGAAGTCTTTCTCGTCAGAAGACAGCGCATAAGCCTGGAGGTTATCTGCCCAAGGGCTTTCCTCGGTAACATGCAGCTTGTAATCGGTCTTAAGGTATACCTTGGCTGATCGGAGCCTTTTAACTGTGCTGTTAATCCATTCAGTAGACATGCCTGCATATACAATACTAAATTATAACCAATATTAATCACACCTAATGACAACCATGCACGTTTGGTCACTTTCATAACAAATGACAAATTTGAGCAATTGCACAAACCTAGTGAGCCGACAGTATGAACGGCGGCTTCCAAAGTATCAAAGGCTAACGATCCCTCACTTGTCATGCTATCCAGGCCTGGGAGGGTCTTCTTTTTCGATGCGATACACACCTGTTGAAAGATTGTTTAGAACGATACGGCATCTTTTAGTGAAAAGGCTAATCTACATATGTTAGTCATACCTGTCAACACTGTGAGAGAAAAAAAAACACATGAAAAGGTGTATAATAAACAAGCAGATTGTACAGGGTTACTTACTTTAAGCACAGCGAAAAGGCTTGATCTTGTGAGAGGTGCAAACTCCATTTCGCAGCAGTAGTTCTGGTATAGTGCAACCATACGGGAGCTTGGCACAGTGCGCACCACGTTTGGGATCTGTAACACCTCACCAGTTGACATTTGTAGCTTTTTGGTGCTGTACGGAACATCTTGAATATAATGGGCCAACTGATGACGTTCAGGAAGTGATCAAGGTTTTGGCTGTCGAGCCTGTAGCGAATCACAGATTGCCGCTCTTCAGTCACGCCGGCTCCAACCACTGCCGTGTGCTTCCTTGTTTGATCTATCCGCCATATAGTTAAGCCTGGTATTATCTACTGTAGCTGCGATTTCGTGTAATGCTTAACGAAAACGGAAAGTGCCGTCATCTTTGTGTACTACGAGGTCGATTCTTCATAGAGGGAAATCAGCTCCTTTATCACCTTGTCGTCGGGACTTTCGTCTTCTGGTGGTGCGGTCTGAACGATAACAAGATCAAACAACTCTTTCGACTGCCTAGGGGCAATGCAGTTAAAGCTGGCGGTGATAACTTCTGCCCCTTTACGGTTTGTGTAATACTGCGTACTCTTTGTGCACTCAGCTAGTGGTTGAGTAAGCTGGAATCGGATTGGGCCGATCCTTCCATCTGTGAACATGCTAATATTTCTATTTACTGCTTCTAAACCGGAGTGCTCTTCGCATAGAGGTAGGCATGTAATCCGACTCTTCATCCTCCTCAACAACCAGCTGCGACATTTCGTCTTCTAGCACAGAAAGGTCAGGAAGCTCCAGTTCCTCCCTATACATACCTGGTCGGTTCTTAAAATACAAGAAAGCTATTTATATATTAGAGATCGTTATCTTGCTGGCGGGGGGATGAAAAATTTTTTGATTGCAAACAATTTACTTTGGTTTGTTACGTGTACAAATAATTTATTTCAGTGATTAAGGCTCTGTAAAAAATTTATTTCAATAGTTTTCAGCTCCCCCCCCCCAAACTTTGGGGGTGAATAATGGACCGTTCCTTATACTAGTGGGGAAGAATTCTAATATTGGATGTAATCAAACAACGCAGGAACATTTTTCAATTATCAATAGTTTGACGGAAATAAGTCCGCTTTTATTCCAACCACGCCTTCCTAAAAAGTACATCCATAATGCTTTGACACTGTCGATGTTCTCATATTTTAAAATTGTTTTATATTTATTTAGCCGGTCGTACGTAATCAATTTATTGTTGCAGGTGCAGCAGTTAAAATACTCACTTGTAATCTTGTGGATCTTTTTAGGGGTATATCCTTCACCTGATGTTTTTCAGAACGCTCGATAGTAGGAGTCCCCTATAAAAATGAAATTTCTACAGTTTCTTTTGAGCGCACAAATATAAGCTATTAGGGACGGACCATTATTTCTCTGACGGGCGCGAGAAGGGAATAGACAAAACTGATTATTTTGCATGCAAACAACCTATTATTTCCTTTTTGCAGCAGCAAACAGTTTATTTGGGGGTTGCAAACAATTTCTTTCAAAATTTTCCATTTCCCCACCCCACTTGCAAATAAAGTATACATTCGACTTGCACTCGCTGCTAGGACTTTTCGAAATGAGAACTGTATGTGAAATGTTGCCTTATTGTTGCATTAAAGCCTAAAACTAAATTTATTGGGATGACTACCAGTTTACAAAAGCACTAATCTTTTAATTTCACAGTATTTTACCTGTGTATCACTAGTTGTCTCCTTGGAGCAGCGCACAGTCTCGCTGTAATTAAATAAACATTTGCTACATATCCCTTGAAAACCAATCAAATAATGCTATCTTAACTCAGCATGATAAAACTTATATTTTATCGCATGTTGTGTTCATTTTAAAATGTAGCCGGTATTCCGAGACAACATTAAATTATTACAATGAGTTACCTTGTCCAGTCTCGCGAAGTACACCGAAGTGTAATCAAATTTTTCTCGACATCTCCTTGGAAATCCATCTGTACGGTTTCTGTTTGCTCTGATGCTCAGGATATTTACAAACTTTACTTGGCCGTCATCCCAAGCCAAATTCGTTCCTGTGCTCGGGACAAATTGTGAGATCTTCGCGCTCGTCGAACAATCCAACGCGGGCTAACCATAGTTTACCGTCTTCCTCTACTCCTTCCCGGGGAGGCTTGAAAACAACCATACAAGTGCTCATTAGCACTCTTTTTTCGAGTATAAAGTTTACATTCTATCCTAGAATATTTCTGAAAAGAATCGAAAAGACACATTTAAAATCGCCCGTCTTTACGAAATGTCTGCTGGTATGGTTATACATGGAAAGCGTAGGAAATGTCGGTGTCTGGTGCGTGTCAAGCAATCCTCTCAGTGCGTTACCAAAAGAATGCCGTTGGAAAACAAAAACAGTTTAAATTATACTGATTGAATTCGTATTTTCGATATATTTGATGATTACTTTGCTTTTACTGCAAAAAATAAGTACTTTTTGATCTGTAACCGAGGTAGTATAAAAGGGCCTAAAAGTTGCGGTGCAATAAAAAATAACAATCAAATAAAAAGCGGCCTGGCTTCCCATATGATTTTTAGATAAGATAAAACTGGAATGAAACATAAAAATGGCTTTTCAAAATACTCCTAAAGATTTTCTCGAAGCTTTCCTTGCGTTATGGAGACTTATAAACAAACGGACTCTATATTACGATACTCTGGCACGTGTCACGTGACCCTCCAAGGCACGCTGGATTGCCGTATATCGAGGGCAAATTCTTCATCTAAAATGTAAACATAACACACTGTTATTATTATCATTTCTTAGATCATCAATTACTCAAGCTGGAAAAAGCATTGAAATGAATCAAAACATGGTCGCTTGTTTGCTTTTTCTCGCTATTTTAGGGGTATTTTCCGTTATTTCGCAAAATGGTGAAAATTGTCAAGTTTGATTGATGGCTCACAAATATAAAAAACAGGACAATCATATATTTTTATATTTGTACATAAAGATCTAGGTTTCTACTTTCACTTAACGAAATATTTTTTGTTGGCTTGAGATTTTGGAGAAACACCCACATCATGAATTCACTGAATTTTTGGCAAGGATTTTTGCACATTTTTTAACAAAAACTGAAAACTCGTATAGCCCTCTTAAATATTAGTATCTAGATAAACCGTTTGGTCTAGATTGTAGGTTCATTGTGGGCAACAAGTGAGCCAAATTTGAACTAAATCGGGGGAAGGAGGGGTCGTGTAGACTCGGCTACATGGTTGTCAGGTGGAGACGTTCTAAAAAAACACGGGGTTAGATAAACTGCGCGAACGAAAGCTCAAAAACAATTAACAAAACTCCGTTGAGACAAGCAACAAAAGTACGCGAAAAATGTCCACGTCAGTTTTCCAATTCTTTGACGCAATTTTCTAATTGTGAAATCACGTGCGCCGCGCATGTGAACACAAAAAGACTACAATGTAGGGAGGGTAAAATAAAAATTGTTATTTGTAATTTAAAACTAAAAAGATTTTCTACAAACAGTCCGTGTATAAGTTTTCACTAATTTCTCCTTTTTTTTCAAACTGAGAAGAAACAGGGTCAAGATGGACAGCATAAAAGAAGCTATGACAGCTATCTCCATAGGTATAGCGGTCGCCGAGTTCCTTCGCAAAACTGGTCGCGTCTTGCAAGCCATCGAGGTGTACAGGGAAAGTTTGATCATATTACACACTCAGGCGCAGGCTATTGATAGTTCATTGGCAAACTTTACGTTCCGAGCCATCTACAAAAAAATAATTTGTGCTTACGTTTACATAAAGGATTACACAAGTACAGAAAAATACATCAGGGAACTCCTCCTATACCTAGACAATAATGAGACCGCTGAAAAAGGATGGTTACATTTAAACCTGGCAAAAATACTTCAGGTACAGAGCAAATTTTTGGAGGCTTGGAAATTTTACGAATCAGCAATCAACATCATGACAACGATTGGAAACACACATGGCCAGGCACTATGCTACTCAAAGCTCGGATTAATGTTCCGATCACTCGGTCAACATGACAAGGCCCGAGAATATCAGGAGAAAGCACTCGCTATCAGAATAGAAATTGGTGACAGACAGGGACAGGCAACAAGCTACGGAAACCTAGGAACTTTGTTCCGATCACTCGGTCAATATGACAAGGCCCGAGAATATCAGGAGAAAGCACTCGCTATCAGAATAGAAATTGGTGACAGACAGGGAGAAGCAACAAGCTACGGAAACCTAGGAACTTTGTTCCAATCACTCGGTCAATATGACAAGGCCCGAGAATATCAGGAGAAAGCACTCGCTATCACAATAGAAATTGGTGACAGAGAGGGAAAAGCAACAAGCTACGGAAATCTAGGAACTTTGTCCGAATCACTCGGTCAATATGACAAGGCCCGAGAATATGAGGAGAAAGCACTCGCTATCAGAATAGAAATTGGTGACAGAGAGGGAGAAGCAACAAGCTACGGAAACCTAGGAACTTTGTTCCAATCACTCGGTCAATATGACAAGGCCCGAGAATATCAGGAGAAAGCACTCGCTATCAGAATAGAAATTGGTGACAGACAGAGAGAAGCAACAAGCTACGGAAACCTAGGAACTTTGTTCCAATCACTCGGTCAATATGACAAGGCCCGAAAATATGAGGAGAAAGCACTCACTATCAAAATAGAAATTGGTGACAGAGAGGGAGAAGCAACAAGCTACGGAAACCTAGGAACTTTGTTCCAATCACTCGGTCAATATGACAAGGCCCGAGAATATCAGGAGAAAGCACTCGCTATCAGAATAGAAATTGATGACAGACAGGGAGAAGCAACAAGCTACGGAAACCTAGGAACTTTGTTCCAATCACTCGGTCAATATGACAAGGCCCGAAAATATGAGGAGAAAGCACTCGCTATCAGAATAGAAATTGGTGACAGACAGGGAGAAGCAACAAGCTACGGAAACCTAGGAACTTTGTTCCAATCACTCGGTCAATATGGCAAGGCCCGAGAATATGAGGAGAAAGCACTCGCTATCAGAATAGAAATTGGTGACAGACAGGGAGAAGCAACAAGCTACGGAAACCTTGGAACTTTGTTCCAATCACTCGGTCAATATGACAAGGCCCGAGAATATCAGGAGAAAGCACTCGCTATCAGAATAGAAATTGGTGACAGACAGGGAGAAGCAACAAGCTACGGAAACCTAGGAACTTTGTTCCAATCACTCGGTCAATATGGCAAGGCCCGAGAATATGAGGAGAAAGCACTCGCTATCAGAATAGAAATTGGTGACAGACAGGGAGAAGCAACAAGCTACGGAAACCTAAGAACTTTGTTCCAATCACTCGGTCAATATGACAAGGCCCGAGAATATCAGTTGAAAGCACTCGCTATCAAAATAGAAATTGGTGACAGAGAGAAGAAGCAACAAGTTACGGAAACCTAGCAGCTTTGTTCCTATCACTCGGTCAATATGACAAGGCCCGAGAATATCAGGAGGAAGTACTCGCTATCACAATAGAAATTGGTGACAGAGAGGGAGAAGCAACAAGCTACGGAAACCTAGGAACTTTGTTCCAATCACTTGGTCAATATGACAAGGCCCGAGAATATCAGGAGAAAGCATTCGCTATCAGAATAGAAATTGGTGACAGAGAGGGAGAAGCAACAAGCTACGGAAACCTAGGAACTTTGTTCCAATCACTCGGTCAATATGACAAGGCCCGAGAATATCAGGAGAAAGCACTCGCTATCAGAATAGAAATTGGTGACAGAGAGGGAGCAGCAACAAGCTACGGAAACCTAGGAACTTTGTTCCAATCACTCGGTCAATATGACAAGGCCCGAGAATATCAGGAGAAAGCACTCGCTATCAGAATAGAAATTGGTGACAGACAGGGAGAAGCAACAAGCTACGGAAACCTAGGAACTTTGTTCCAATCACTCGGTCAATATGACAAGGCCCGAAAATATGAGGAGAAAGCACTCGCTATCAAAATAGAAATTGGTGACAGACAGGGAGAAGCAACAAGCTACGGAAACCTAGGAACTTTGTTCCAATCACTCGGTCAATATGACAAGGCCCGAGAATATGAGGAGAAAGCACTCGCTATCAGAATAGAAATTGGTGACAGACAGGGAGAAGCAACAAGCTACGGAAACCTAGGAACTTTGTTCCAATCAACGAGAATATCAGGAGAAAGGTCAGAATAGAAATGACAAGGCCTTTTGAGAATATGAGGAGAAAGCACTCGCTATCAGAATAGAAATTGGTGACAGACAGGGAGAAGCAACAAGCTACGGAAACCTAGGAACTTTGTTCCAATCACTCGGTCAATATGACAAGGCCCGAGAATATCAGGAGAAAGCACTCGCTATCAGAATAGAAATTGGTGACAGACAGGGAGAAGCAACAAGCTACGGAAACCTAGGAACTTTGTTCCAATCACTCGGTCAATATGACAAGGCCCGAGAATATCAGGAGAAAGCACTCGCTATCAAAATAGAAATTGGTGACAGAGAGGGAGAAGCAACAAGCTACGGAAACCTAGGAACTTTGTTCCAATCACTCGGTCAATATGACAAGGCCCGAGAATATGAGGAGAAAGCACTCGCTATCAGAATAGAAATTGGTGACAGACAGGGAGAAGCAAGAAGCTACGGAAACCTAGGAACTTTGTTCCAATCACTCGGTCAATATGACAAGGCCCGAGAATATCAGGAGAAAGCACTCGCTATCAAAATAGAAATTGGTGACAGAGAGGGAGAAGCAACAAGCTACGGAAACCTAGGAACTTTGTTCCAATCACTCGGTCAATATGACAAGGCCCGAGAATATCAGGAGAAAGCACTCGCTATCACAATAGAAATTGGTGACAGACAGGGAGAAGCAACAAGCTACGGAAACCTAGGAACTTTGTTCCAATTACTCGGTCAATATGACAAGGCCCGAGAATATCAGGAGAAAGCACTCGCTATCAGAATAGAAATTGGTGACAGACAGGGAGAAGCAAGAAGCTACGGAAACCTAGGAACTTTGTTCCAATCACTCGGTCAATATGACAAGGCCCGAGAATATCAGGAGAAAGCATTCGCTATCAGAATAGAAATTGGTGACAGAGAGGGAGAAGCAACAAGCTACGGAAACCTAGGAACTTTGTTCCAATCACTCGGTCAATATGACAAGGCCCGAGAATATGAGGAGAAAGCACTCGCTATCAAAATAGAAATTGGTGACAGGGATGCAGAGGCAACAAGCTACGGAAACCTAGGAACTTTGTTCCGATCACTCGGTCAATATGACAAGGCCCGAGAATATCAGGAGAAAGCACTCGCTATCAGAATAGAAATTGGTGACAGACAGGGAGAAGCAACAAGCTACGGAAACCTTGGAACTTTGTTCCAATCACTCGGTCAATATGACAAGGCCCGAGAATATGAGGAGAAAGCACTCGCTATCAGAATAGAAATTGATGACAGACAGGGAGAAGCAACAAGCTACGGAAACCTAGGAACTTTGTTCCAATCACTCGGTCAATATGACAAGGCCCGAGAATATCAGTTGAAAGCACTCGCTATCAAAATGGAAATTGGTGACAGAGAGGAAGAAGCAACAAGCTACGGAAACCTAGGAACTTTGTTCCAATCACTCGGTCAATATGACAAGGCCCGAGAATATCAGGAGAAAGCACTCGCTATCAGAATAGAAATTGGTGACAGACAGGGAGAAGCAACAAGCTACGGAAACCTAGGAACTTTGTTCCAATCACTCGGTCAATATGACAAGGCCCGAGAATATGAGGAGAAAGCACTCGCTATCAGAATAGAAATTGGTGACAGACAGGGAGAAGCAACAAGCTACGGAAACCTAGGAACTTTGTTCCAATCACTCGGTCAATATGACAAGGCCCGAGAATATCAGGAGAAAGCACTCGCTATCAGAATAGAAATTGGTGACAGACAGGGAGAAGCAACAAGCTACGGAAACCTTGGAACTTTGTTCCAATCACTCGGTCAATATGACAAGGCCCGAGAATATGAGGAGAAAGCACTCGCTATCAGAATAGAAATTGGTGACAGACAGGGAGAAGCAACAAGCTACGGAAACCTAGGAGCTTTGTTCGAATCACTCGGTCAATATGACAAGGCCCGAGAATATCAGGAGAAAGCACTCGCTATCAAAATAGAAATTGGTGACAGGGATGCAGAGGCAACAAGCTACGGAAACCTAGGAACTTTGTTCCGATCACTCGGTCAATATGACAAGGCCCGAGAATATCAGGAGAAAGCACTCGCTATCAGAATAGAAATTGGTGACAGGGATGGAGAAGCAACAAGCTACGGAAACCTAGGAACTTTGTTCCGATCACTCGGTCAATATGACAAGGCCCGAGAATATCACGAGAAAGCACTCGCTATCAAAATAGGAATTGGTGATAGGCATGGAGTAGCAACAAGCTATACAAACCTCACTGGTTTGTTTCTATCACTCGGCAAATATGCAAAGGCTGACGACTATTTAAAGAAGGCAATGGCAGTTAGAAAGGGTATCGATGATAGAAGTGGAGAAGCATCAGTTTACAGTCACCTTGGTAGAATTTGTTGTAAGCGTGGTGAATATGACAAGGCTCAAGAATATTACGAGAAAGCCCTTACAATTGTCATGGAAATCGGTGAGAGAGAAGGAGTAGTAGTCCACTACAACAATTTAGCATTATGTTTCCAATCGCTAATTAAATATGACGTGGCCGAAGAATACCTTAAGAAGGCTCTTCTTTTAAGTAGGAATATTGGACACAACCTGTACGAGTTTTACTGCCTTTGCAATCTATCGATGTTAAAGGTGTCACAATGTCATCTTGGAGAGGCTTGTTCGTATCTTTTTCAAGGCATCCAAAAGTTCGACACTTTGAGAGGTTTTCTTAAAGAAAACGATCAGTTTCAAATAGCTCTTTTAGAACAGCACGGCACCTTTTCCTACAAGTTGTTCAGTAGGTTGCTGTCTTCCTCTGGAAAACCTCAGGACGCCCTTTACGTCGAAGAGCTGAGAAGGGCGAGAGGCCTGGCCGACTTGATGGCAGCTCGATACTCTCTTCAAGAGCAGATCTCAAGCGATCCACAATCTTGGTGTGGCATTCAAAGGATCATCACAAAAGAAGCAGACTGTGCATGCCTGTACATTTCGGTTGGTGAAGATGAGATACGGTTTTGGATAATTACAGCAACGGGAGCTATTCATTTTTTAGAAAAGAAAGTGAGCCTGGACAAAAACAAGGTTACCGGAATAGTCCCTGAGTTAGATGAGTTTTTTAAAGAAGCCTTCCGCAGCCACGTCATTTTACCCGAACAGAATTGCGAAGATCGATCTTTAGATGACACCGAACTGATGTCACTTCACTATGATAACCGCTCAGTGCCTGGTGACCATGATACCGAAGATTTCAAAACAAGCCTTGAATTGTGTTACAAGATAATCATTGCTCCTGTGGCCAGTTTACTAAAGCAGCCCGAGATCATAATTGTCCCTGATTCCTGTTTGTACCAGGTGCCATTTGCAGCCTTGGCTGACGAAGGAGGCAAGTATTTATCAGAGACATGCAGGATTCGGATAATTCCCTCCCTGACGACTCTCAAACTTGTTCAAGACAGTCCTCCAGACTATCACAGTCAGACCGGGGCACTGATAGTGGGTGACCCAGTGGTTGGAACGGTGATTTACATGGGAAGGTGCAGAAATATGACACCATTGCCGCATGCAAGAAAGGAAGCAGAGATGATTGGAGGACTTCTTGGCATAAGGCCTTTGATAGGAGATTCCGCAACAAAACATTCTGTACTCCTAGCGATAAGTTCAGTGAGCCTGATACACATTGCTGCCCATGGTGATGCCGAAAGAGGGGAAATTGCTCTTTCTCCTATGCACCCTACCCTACTCCCACCTTTCCCTCGAGAAGAAGATTATCTTTTGACGATGGCCGATATTTCAAAAACTCAGTTGCGAGCTAAACTAGTGGTGCTTAGTTGTTGTCACAGTGCTCGTGGACAGATTAGAACCGAGGGAGTTATTGGACTTGCTCGAGCGTTCTTAGGATCGGGAGCTCGTTCAGTGTTAGCGGCACGATGGGCCCTGGATGACAGAGCCACAGAGAAGTTCATGACTTGTTTCTACAAACATTTGTTCCGCGGTGAAAGCGCCAGTGAATCTCTCCACAAGGCCAGGAAGTGGATGAGAAATAACGGCTTTGATAAAGTTTCTCAATGGGCGCCATTTATGATCATGGGCGACAACGTGACATTTGAGTTTGGAAATTGGCCGGTGCCTAGCGCACCTTAAGAGCCAAGACTTTGATAAAACCTCTGTAGCAGAATGAATTAGACTTAGTAAAGCTTGGAACTATTTAATTACTAGCCTGTAGAAAGAGGACACCATCTGCGAAGGACAACTCGGATCGATACACAGAGGAGAGCACTTCTGTAATATGCTCATCAGACATCTAAGTTTAATAATCCGAAATAAGACAGCATATAGTGTTATCTCTTTATAAGAGTCCCGTAACTAAAAAGGATTACGGTTAGATCGCTCCAAGTCAGATTAGTTTATTAGGTTTCTACATGGAGCGAAGTAACTTATGTATGGAGCGAAGTAACTTATTTGATGGAGCGAACTAACTTTCGAGTGGAGCGATCTGACTTCGGTATGGAGCGATCTAACCATGGAGCGATCTAACTGGATACCACTAAAAAAACTCCAACTTTTTTTAAGTCATCAGTTCAGTGAATGAGCCAACCAAAGTGTGATAATTTTAGTTTTCGAACGCGATTAGTTCGTCAAGGAAAGAAAAATTTAATCCTTTTCCAAAGTTGATGAGTTTGTCAATTCAAGGTTACTTTATTATTAAAGGACAATCTATGTAGACGTAATTATTTGGGATCAATATCAGTTGCTGGGAACAGACCCTTATATAAAACTACCGTACAATTTTACACCTTTTACACCCCCTTAAATAACTCGGCATTGTTACATAGCGACTATTCAAGAGGTACAATTAAAAACCCCTGGATGTAAGATACGAATCTAAGACCCCTGGATGTAACGAAAGCATTCACGATCGATGTCCACATCTACGCGCAGACTCCTAGATGTAAGAAGAAGCAGAGAAGCGTCTGGTAGAATGCACGACTACAAAAAGTCCTTCAGATGCACGAGTTTGAATTACTCTTAAAATGCCGAATGTAAAGGGTTCTGGATGTAATTTGCAGGGACAGAACAACTGAGAGATTGGATTTAAGATTGCAACAGGTCATGGGTGGCGATTAAACATAAAAAGCTCCTCAGTCAAAGCGAGAGGGAGCCAAATAACCCTAACCTCTGCCAGGTTCTCGGTTAATGGAAATGAGCAAAAGAACGAAAATGGCAGGTTCATGCAGCCGTTTCCCTTAAACAAACACAACAGTCGTTCATCGCTCACCCGCCCAGTGAGTTAGAGCCTGAAACAGGCTAAAATAACTCAAACTGATTAATCACCCACAGGCAAAATAAATAACATTTTTTGATGAGTTACTATTACGAAACATACATGTACAAAAGATTAGGCCCCGCGACTAAACAGCAACATTATTGATTTCTTTTATTTACAAGCATGATAAAGCAAACAGCAAAAAGTAACGCCTAACGCCTATTTCTGCCACAGACATGTAGCTTCACTACTTCCATTTTTATCATGATGGCCTCCACCGATTTTCTTCCGGGCTCTCTGGTGTCCTCCATTTGTTACCTGTCGTTTAATAAACTGCCAATTAAATATTAATGAACACAGTGCCATGCAATGCATCAGGTTTTCAAAGCAGCAAAAGACTATATGTATCATTGCTTTAAAGTGCATTTTATTAATTGGCTGTGTCATTTGAAAACAACAATGATGACAATATTTATTGTAACTGTCAAATACCATATCGAGAGAACAACTTGTATATTTAGGATTATATAACAAACAACTTCCATTTACTTTACTGCATAGAAAATGCTTCACCTGTTGTTTTCCTTTGTAACAAATTACATAGAAGAAAGTCTAGAATATGTGAAGTTTACTGTAGGTATACCTTTGTAGAGAGATGACCTTTAAATGGTGGAGATTCACTGTGGTGTGTCTGATCACCTCCTCTGCCTTCAATTTATCACCTAGTAATAAGAAAATTAGATTATCAATACATCGAGGCTGGTCACTTTTCTCTAAGGAAACATGGAGGCATGCACCAATAACATCATATACCTGACAACCATGCTGTAATGACTTAGCATTTGGTAACACCAACTTGTTGCAGAATCAAGACATGGGCACCACTCAGGGGACATGGATCTTCGCCAACACGTTCAAACATTTGTGACACACAAGGTGATCTGTTGTGTGCCACAATTACCAAGCAGCTGTCTAACATATTTGTTAGTTGTGTATCCTCGTTAAGTGTCCTTTGGAATAAAAGGAACATCCTTTAATCCGTACTAAGAGACAATAAGAGACTAGAGATGTACATATTAATAATTGGAAAATTACTAGACTGTCAGGGGCCCAGCCCTCACTAAAGTTTGTGTTTTAATCACTAAAGTTTGTGTTTTTCATCTGTGAATAGACATTTTCACAAGAGGTGGAGTATTTTTCACATAATTTAAGCTAAAAATAACTACATTTACTTCTGGCATGTTCTGTTTAGGGCACTTTTAAGAACAATTTTTTACTTTGTTTGATAATTTTTAGCCCACCTGATGACATTGACACTCTCATCACTCTCATCAAACAAGACCACCACAATTGCTGTCAGGTCTTGGTGGCTCTGTACAACAGCCTAAACAAATCAAAGAAAGGTGGCTAAAAAGAACGCTGCAAGATAAAAACAACCATGCACAGATCAACACTTTCATATTTTTAATTGAAATTTAAAGGCTGCCTAGGAAACTTGCCTGGTCAAATGTAAATGGGGCCCACATCAATCTTCTCCCAAGGAGGAGGTACAGCAGTTGGACCTGTTGTAAGGGTCCTTCAATATCTGAAAACAATTTTTCAACCTGTCAATCAGGGACCTTTATAAATGAGAACAACCTCTAATCATGATCTATCATGACATTCAGTTATTACTATGAAGGTGTAATTTAACAGAGTTAGTACTATTGTAGAGATGCAGGTAGAGATAAACAGCCATTAACAGAGAATTATTAAATTCATACAACAGCTTGAAGCACTCACAGTTCACAGGTGAACAGTATTTATGAAATCCTGACTGAACACCCTAAATCTGTTTCATTTAATTGTTGCTAGCTGGACAACTTGGTATCTACTAGCTTCTACTTTTCATAGAATGCAAAAAGTGCTGAATGAGAGATCAAATTACATCTGGTGACATTTGTTTTAAGAAAGCTTATAATACTAAAAAAAATATTAAAAATGTCCTCACCAAAGACTTCAGCACTCTCTATGGCTTTTTGGCAACTTGCTTCTCTGCCTATCAAGATTGAAAAACAGATAACAACCAAGGCGATAATTGTAATCACCTACATATTGTAATAATCTAGGATTAAATAATATAAGTTGCAAAAACATTGCCATAAAAAAGTAATTGAAATAGCCATATAGGAATGTATAACTAGCATTCTTACAACAGCTTGTAGCACTCACAGTTCACAAGTGAACAGTATTTAATGTGTATTTAATAACTATTTTGAGGGGTTTCATGGATTTGTAGCTTGTAGCCTTTTTTCAGTTTTCTGAATATAACTTTTCAAATTTAGTGATAAACTCTTTGCTGATTGGTCTGAATACAGATTTTTCTGAGAGAGACCAATTAAAATAGGCAGTTGCTCAGATTCTACTTTGCCAAACAGACCCTTCAATGTTGTTATTGAAAGTCCCAAAACTTTAAGCGACTTAAATAAGAGAAAGTACTGTATATTGTGTCAACAGAGGGAAATATTTTCCGTTAGGTGAATTTGTATCCATACCAGACTGTATGTTCTCACTTATTTCCAGGGTTGTGCCTTTGGTTGAGATTATATCTGTAAAGGTATAATTAAGTAAACAGATTTCTAACTTCAGTTGCATATTAGATTCTTGGAAAATTCAAACCTTCTAAACCCACAGCCCTGGTAGAACAAGCTAAAGAAGAAAAACAGTATTCATTGTCAAAAGCTACAGGTGTGCTGAAACAACAAAAGCCTTTACAACTAAGACAAAAACAGTATCAAATAAAGAAAACTAAGCTGAATGATGGAGCATACACCTGCCCCCCAAAAAAGCAGGGAACTATTTTTCAGTTCAACTCAAGGATGTGCATTAAAAAAAAATCAGGTTCTTGCAAAAAACAATTCACTCTTCAACAAAGTTTACCTTTACCTGAAGTGGAATGGTCAAAAACAATAAAATTCAACTACGTTTGAATGCTGCTTAAAGAGATACTTTCACAATTTTGGGCTTATGAACTTAAGACTTATCTGTTTTGCCAATATAACTGTTCATACCTTTCAATACATCCATGATGAAAAATAAATGTCTGGGCTGCAACAGAACAAAAAAACTGTCAGTTGTCAATTGCTCAGTTACTAGAGACATAGATCACTTACAAATTACTCAGTAATATTTGGAATCATTCACATTTAAAAAGTAAGTATTTTTGGCATTGAATTTCTCATTAATTGCAAGAAATATATACCTTTTGAGGAAATTTATCACTTATGCGGAAACGCAAGACAAGGTACACTTGTAAGTATTTCTTGCACCTATTCATGCACAGACAAAATGTTTAAAGTAATGCACCAGTCTGATTGTTAAAACTGTAATATGATTGCGAAGCCATCAATCATAACAGAAATGCCTAGAATGCAAGCATAAACCTGTACCTCCCATGTAAGCACCTTTTTACTTCTAAATAAATGCTACACAGTGTACAATGTAAAAAAAAAGACACTTGCCCACTTTTCATACCAGGCAGTTGGTTATGAGATCTAACAGACACTATTTGCAGATCTTGGGAATTGCTTTAGTGGCTGAGACCCACACCCTGTCCTGCAGACATCAATACAGACAACAGCATAATGCATTTAAAAATCATAATTACTACTAATAATAAAAATATAAATTTCATAATTCTCTAAACAGATGGCCCATTTCACAACATGGTTTTCAACAGGGTGCCATAAAAATGAAATAAAATAACATGAATGAAAATAAAGTACAATACAAATGACTTAATAGTAAATTGAAAACCTACTTTTTTTTATCTTAGTCTATCATAAAACGGTTTGGCACCAAACTGTAATAGCTGAAGTAGCTGCATGCATTTGTTAAC